CCATTTCTCATTAAAAACCTAACAGCCACGCAACTTCAGATGCTAATATTTGCATCCATAGCATATTCAAGCAATGACATCCCTGGTGCCCAGTTCCTCACATTACACCAGCTCCTAACATTACACCTCAATGTGTCAACCAAGATAACCACAAAAAGCAGGCAAAGGCCCAGGTATCTGCCTACAGAATCCTACTTACATGGGCACAGCCCCAGGTCTCTGCTTCACATGTTCACTCAGCCATCCACACTGGGTTTTCAAGCCCAAAGATACAGTCACCTAAGGATGCATGAGGAGAAAAGGACCTTTGAGGCAAAAAAAAAAAATTCTTCTCCCATTATACATAGAATCACATTGTGCAGTCTCATGAAATGAGAAAGATCTGGCTCAAGGGAGTTTTGCTACAGGCTTTTGCAGCAAGCTTGTATTCTGTGGCTGAGCTACAGCATGTTGACACCAGTTTTGTCAGTGATGTTTACATATATGAACAGCTCTATCCCTGTCAGGAAAAAAAAAAAGACCTTGCTCCTTCCCTTGAAAACTGCAACTAGTGCCAAGACTAAGAAGCTGCACAGGTTGAGTTTCTCTGGCTTCAGATAGTCTGCACCTGGTAGTCTTGGCAAGATAGAGCTAGAAGAAATACCCAGCACCACGTTGGACTCATCAACCCACCTCCCAAAGACACTTAAAATCATGAGCCATTAATTCTGCATTTTCTCTTCTGCTAAACCATTTGGTTTGGTGGTGCTATCACTAACTGCAACCACCAAAGGAGGGAAACTTCAGCCACACGTCTCTTCCTACCAAGCACCGTAACAACTCTTAAAGCAGTTTCTCAACAGAAATGCTGTTGGACAAATGAGGACGTCTAATTACAACAGCTCTTCCATTAGATTAGAAAACTTCAGAGTAGAAATCACTGTTAACTCCCCAAGAGTGGGTACCTATGTCAGGTTTCATGACACTCTTAGGCAGCTCCTCATTTCATGGGGATGCAACTAAGCCTCCACCCTCCACATTTTCAGCGTGCTGCCCTACCAGCACCTACCTTCACACTTTAAAAAAAAAAAAAAAAAAAAAAAAAAAAAAGGCAACACTTGCTAGTGAGATGAAGATGTGGCACATCACACAATCTTCCTCTGACTTAGAAAAACTTGAAGGGCTCTACCTCAAAGACAATTAGTAGTTTTCTTCATTTACTTGGTTTTTGTTTTTTTTTTTTAAAAGACAATGTCAGAGCTACAGAGTCAATAGGTAGCTTCTAACATCCATCTGACCACGTTATACAACTTTCAGCTAAGAGATGCAAAAAAAATTAACGCAAAAGTGGTCAACAGTACATATTTCTGGTCCCATTCTGCCCGTTCATCCACTGATACACTCATAGACAGGAATCACCGTCCTTTTCTAGCTGTTCTAGCAGCCTAATCGCATCAAACACTTCCAGCATCTTCTCATTTTCTGTTACTCCTCTTTACTCTGGAAGACTTTCTCTTCACATGGTTGAGTTTCAATTTATCTTTCTTCAACACTCATGAATAAGAACAAATGAAAGAAGTGACATTCTGTTTTTAAAGTTTCTAAAGGAACTGAGATATGTTTTACTCAGGTCATAAAAATACAACACAATGAATACTGTCTGGTTTTCCTACAGTTTAAAGAAATTTTACTGAAACAATAAGAGATACTAGCTTGTCACATTAATTTTTCATATTTAAAGAATAATTAATATAAAGTCAGCCAGTATTCTGCATATAGGTGAAGCAAATATTCCAGAATCTTCATTAAAAAAGACCTTAATACTGAAAGCTACAAATGAAATCAGAAAGTTGTCCTACCTGTTTAAAATGGAAGCATTTTAATTGTCTCATTATCAGGAAAAAATATAGCAAAATGCTAGGTATGACATTATTTTGAAGTATTATCTTTACTGGTGACAATAAAATCTACTTAGACATGCAAACACACAATAAGCATATCAAACTGCAGGATACCACATTGCTCCTGTCAAATACAAGATCACAGCTTCAACAGACTTGCTTAGCAGACCTTCATTGCAGCTGAGACTTGTCCTAGGATAGGAAATGAAGGTGAGCCAAGCATATAAAAATCAAAGAGAAATGGCATATGATCAGAAGAATGCACTGCATTCTAGGTTACTGTTTACTCTGCTGATGACGTCATTTAAGCAGAGAAATAGCATCAGCCACTTTTTAATATAAAACCTGTTAATGTCCAAAAGCAGCAGTGCTGGGCCTAGGCATCTGGCAGGACACATCTTTGTCCACATGTATTCAAATGGTCAAAACACACACAGCCATGAAGGAAAGAAGCAATGCAGGTGGATGCGTATCTTCCACTGAAGGAATCTTTGGCAGTTTACTGTTTGCCTTGCCTGAAGGGAAATTTTAACATCCATCCTGTACATGAAAAGTAACGCATATCCTTTTCAGGAGCTTGGTTCTTCGTGTAGTCAGAGCTCAATCTAAAGGACCCTTCAGATACACTGCTAGATACCAGACATCATGTATAACTCTTCTTTCTTTGCAGAGAGAAAACAAGAAAACCGTGCAAGGCCCATCTCAGCAAGTTAGAGAAAGTTGCACAGGTACAACCATCTGTGCCCTAAGTTAAATAAAAATTTAACAAGTGGAATCACTTTTATGTATTTTATATTTATTTTAATGGGGTTTTCTTGCTTGTTTGTTTTAGGGTAATTTGCTGACAAAGCAACAGAACGAAAGGAGCTAGATCTCCAACTTAAAAGCCACATTGTTGTTCAGCTGGTAATTTACAACTTTGTTGAGTGTCTGGTAAACAGGACAACTGTTTACAACAGGAAATGACTGGAAAGACAGCTGCCACTCATGCCTCGTCTCCCCATCTGTACGCAGAGACTGCCCAGGAAAATGTGTCAGACAGCCTATGCTCACAAGCACTCTTCTCACAGTTTATCACTCTGTTGACACAAGATCAATCCATCCATATTCAGAAAGGAACAGACCTGTTTATGACAAAAGACAGTTGTTTCAAAAATAATAACTAGGTAAAAAAAAAAAAAAAGAGAGAAAGCAATCACATGGAGGCTCTATTCTTCTCATACTATTTCTTCAAGTGGTTCCTCTGTCATCACAGGATAACCACTTACACAAAGAAGGAAATGAAGAGAATTTCCTATGATCTCCTTTTTTAATATATTTGTAATTCCACAGTAAATCCAACCATTCTCCTTGCAGCATCAGCACCCCACTAGAAACATTTACTCTCTTCAACTAGATGCTGTTATAACGGGGTGAAGAAATGAGCTTCACCAACTTGTCATGAATTATTAACCAGAAAAATCCCTTTTGTCTCCCTTCACAGAGGCTTGATTTGCAAGTTTAAAAATCAAACTGACACTTAACGTCTCTTGTACAAATACCCAAGCTTTTAAAAAATGCTTGGGGCATTATAAATACATTTTTTCATGAATATGAGAACAACAATTCTATAAATAGCTGTTCTTCACAGAACTGCTTCGAGACATTGTTTTTGCAGACAACAGTAGGAAACTGAAGTAGGTCTCAGTGCCAAATATATTAAAAGTTAAATAAACTCTCCAATCAACTCCGGTTTTCCATTTATTATTACAAAGTGTGCCATTATTTTTCAACTTAAAAAAATTAGTCTATGCAAGGGACAAATCAGTGAACTGTGCTGTGTTTTGATACAGCTTCTGGGTTGGTACGAATCAGACACATCCTTCAACTTCTTTGGGAATTCACTTTCCATCTTTGGGCAGTGATTTAACAATACTGGACTGTCAGTGCACAAACATGCTATTAACCAGCACCACCTTGCAGAAGCACAAAATGAGGCAAGGTTTTTACTGCGGCTCCACAATAAGAGTTCCAAATACACTGACTCAAAACTGTGCTCCATCTCCTCTAAAAAGCAAACATGGGAAGATAAATATGACCTAATGCAGCAGTAAATTGACTACATTCTGCACATTCAGTGGTTGCTACCTCCTGAAATAATTTCTACATTGGCATCTAAACATAAAAACAGCATGAACTTGTGAAAAACAGCTACACAAATGAAAAAAACGAGTTTCTATTGGAAGAATAGCCCAGCTACATGTTTAGTCATCTTGGCATATACTTCAAAACAAGGCCAAAGCTCCAACACCACCAGGTTTCCAACAGGCAACAGGTACAAGCACTTCATAAGTGCTTGAAAATTCATCTGTAGAAAACTCACATTGTTTCAAGTTGTAATACAGCATTTTGCCCTAACAATTGCAACAATAATTTGACATTATGTGATTCATAATCTTTATGAAACAAATTCCACTCAGTTACTGGGGGTACCGATGCTTTAACCCTGCTGCTGCTCCATTGTCTCCAACAGCTAGAAGCACACAAGTCCTGATTTCAAGGGGTGACAAGATATGAAAGTGGTGTGAAGTAGAGACAAATCAAGCCATGATCTTCCCAACAGCTCCCCAGCCATAATAGTGATCTAAGCAAGCTGGAATGTTTTTAAAAGTAAGTAAGTGTCCAGTGAGGATTAGTAAGAATTTAGTGACGTGTCTTAGCAGGCACAGCCATGGAATAGTGCAGCACGAGGAAGAATTCAAAGGGAGCTCTGGCCTTTGGGTATTCCAAGACCTGTTATGCACCACAGCCAACATCCTCAGTGTACAGAAGGCAAAAAGAGAAACCACAACTGTGAAACAAAACAACATGCTAAATTGATCCTTGCCTGTAAACTAAAAAAACGTTACAACTCATTGGCCAGACCATTAACATGGCTGCATATGACCAGTGTACAGCAGAACTCCAGAATTTCACCCTTCTCTCCATGTTTTACACACTAGAGATGAGCCACAGGCCTGTTAGGCTGATGCAATGCTCATCTACTGTGTCAGAACAGGCATGCAAAATCTCCTAATTCCTGTCCATCATACCCCTGGAAACAGAAACAACCATTCTGGAATAAGAATTTTTCCCTCTTACCTTGTTTTGATCTGTCCAGTAGAAGAAAAATCCCTGTGGATCTGTTCTGAGTATTATTGGAGTCACAACAGTTGAGTCCTAGATGGAAAAAAATAAACAACACGTCAGCATACAGAACACGTAATCATGCACCAGCTACTTTGCCACCCATGCTAATGAATTCCAATAGTACCCAAGGTATCCCTTGCAGGATGCCACTAAAGACTTAGTATCACCTACCTAATTTCCATTTTTCTGACATAATGCATTTCCATATAATGAAGTACTACAGTTATCAGAAGTCCTATCTGAATCCAAATTGACTTTTATATGTAGATCAAGCTAAATGCCTACGAGCTTTATTTAATACCTGAAGTCTGAATTTGCCTAGAAAACCCAAACAGTATCTTATACTACAGTAAGACTTCCGTTGATTACTGTATATAAAACAAAAAATCCCCACAACTGATGCTTTCAGTAATGGAAGTACATATACACTTCCCCTAGATCAACTAAAAACCTGTTTGCTATGTTAAGATACATAGTTTGGGTAATTTGAAAACAAGCATCTTTGCAAATGCTAACGTTAAGGAGGCCTGATTTCCTACATACACGTCTCCTGACTGGCACCTGGCCCAGGAGACACAGGCTCAAACTAAAGCCTTTCCCACAAGTGGGCGTTCATTACATCTTTCACCCTGGGATCCCCTGATGGCCAATAATAATTGAAACCTATGTAGCCTGCTCCTAACAGGATTCTCTTCTATCCTTGCTCTACCATTTTTCATTACATATGTAAAAACACTGTTGCCTTGAGACTCCTATCTTTTTGCTACGTTGAACTAGAAAGTTACGGAGAGAGCACAGAAAAGAGGAGGAAGAGAGGCAGCAAAAAATAGCTTATGCCCTATCTCCACGGGAAACCTAAGCATATCCTCAAACAGGATGCATGCTTCTGTTGAAGCCTTATAGGTATTTTACAGCTTTAGCATCCACCTACTTCCAAAGCAGCATTATGTGAGGTCAGCCTAAATTCCTAAATTCAGATCAAAATCAAATGCATTTAACTGTGGAGGTTTCTTTGTTGCTTTTTTGTTGGTTCGGTTTTGTAGTAGCAGTAGATTCTGTTGGTGTTGGTTATTTGGGGAGGTGAGAAGGTGCATTTTAAGTGCAAATAAAGTTGTTGGAAGTGGCAGGACCATAAACAAAAACTAAATATATTAAGTGTTATTTCTGAGGCAGAAAGATAACAATTCTATATTATGCTATCGCTGCATTCCTTTGTGATGGAATAACAAACTCCCAATAAGGGGCATTCATGAAACAGAGGAGTCTGTATTTCTCTTACACTGAGAAAAAAAGAAAAAGAAAAACACAAAGCAAATTCTACACCAAGAAAAAAATATAAATTCAAACTTTTAAGTGAGTGCACAAATCCTCGTTGTCACTGGAAGATGTGGGGATTAACTGTGCCCCAGTACAGCGATACCCCACATGGCTCCACACGAGCTTTCAGAGGCTGGGAACAGTGCAGCTGTCCCAGTCGGCGCTGCGGGCCGCATCCCAGCTGGGATCAAGGCTGTGCACACAGCACCACCGACACTGTTCTGAGATAACTCTCCTTTTTCATCCTATTTCATTTTTCCTGCTTCATGTTCCATGCAATCTACACATAACTATGTAAAACAAGGAAAGAATAAGACTTAGTCTTTAGTAAGGAAAGAATAAGACTAAGTCCTTCCGCAATGCCATAAGACATAAACACCCAAGGGGGACGGACAAAAGTAGAAGGAAGCAATGGGAAACAGACAGGCATGAAGAGATTATGTCTAACATTAATCAGTTGCGGTGCTTTATCATTTCATATCAGCTGCTTCAGCCCCAAAGCTGTTTGGATTTGCCTGTGCTGATGACATATAGCTGTCAAAGCAATACTTTCCTAGAAGTGGGCTGTAAGGTTTCAACTATAATCAGACTCAAAGAAGCGGGGGCTGGGCAGACGGCCTTAGTATCTTCGAGGTGACATAAAGGAAGCCCCATCATAGTAAGGATAATGCTGAGTGAATTTAAGATCCACCGTGCTCCAGAAAGATTTAATATTAAAAGTAACTATAAAACAGCAGCCATACATTACATCTGTTTTCTGAATTAGCTACACTCCTCTGACATCAAGCAGAACATAATTAACACACTGATGAACACAAGAACCTCACTCTGTCACACTACACAAACACAGGATCAGAGAATAACTTTGCACATGTGGCTCTGTGTACATAAGTCTTACGAAGCCTTCCACACAGTTAACAGCAGCAACAAAAGCCACGTGCAGAAAGATAACTGCTAAGTCTGAAGTCCCTGCCACTGAGAGCCAGACCACTTAGATCCGGGAGCAGAACGGAAATAAGCCCCTTGAGTCAGGCCTGCAAGTTGTGCTGCCCACTGCATATGAACACAGCAGCCTCGGTCACGTGGAAGAGGTCTGTGGCTTTTATGCTACTTCGCAATCAGGGATGGCAAAGATCAACAAGGTACACTGAAAATAAATCTTAACGTACTTTACACTCAAGAAAAAGAGTGCTTCAAGGTTTTGAATTAGAAACTTATTTCAAATGACAATTGTTTGGTACATTTATTTACAAAAACATTCTACTACCTGGAAAGAAATGTCACTTGCTATCCAGAAGACACACCTGCATCCTGAGATGCATTCATGTTAATACCTCACCCGAAGAGCTGACCTATCTCATCACTACCCCAAACAGTTACCAAACATATACGCCTGTTCAGATGAAGGTAACAGACAGGACAAATGACCTGCACTACCTGCCAGCCCTCCATACTCTCAAGATATGTAAAAGATAAAGGAAGAAGGTTGAGGAGAAACGCCTCGAAGGACAAAGATGAGAAGCAGAGGTCAATTTCTTCCCCAACCCATTCAGATCCAGAACATGAAAATAAAACAGATAGGGAGGGAGGAAAAAAAAGTGTAGCGTTGTACATCCCCAGATTCTTGTGATCCCTGCAAGAATAGAAGGAAAAAAGTAGAATAAGGTAACGAAGGCAAGAATCAAATGTGATCAGACAGAAGAGAAAAAGCAGAGCACTGCAGTCAGTGAAAATGATTGCAAGTTCTCAGGTTTTCTAAATGCCACCACAGATGCTTCAGCCAAGCAGGGGCTTGATCTCTGGCTGACTGGCTCTGCAAATTCCTTACACAGAAAGATTTCCAGTGGTCCTATCCTAACAGTCTCACTGTGCTGCATATTGCACTAGCCTGAATTCAAGTGAGCATTTTTAAAATGAGTATTTATATTGACCTTAAAATCCCATCCCCCCACCCCCATATTTTTTTAATTTCAGGCCAGTTCTCTATTCTCAGTCAACTTCACAGCCTAAAGTAAATAATGTGATTTATTCTGTACTATTTCTTTTCAGTTGCCTCGTAGTTGATTGCTTGATACCCTGCAATAGAAATAACATTTTATACTTTTCAACAAGGAGGTTTCAAAATAACAGAGAACTCCAAGATGCTTACTTCCGAGGCACTGCAGAACACAGGCATAAATGTGCAAGCGTGCAGCAACCAACTGATCAATGTCTAATTTCAGGTGTAGGCCTCCTAAGCCACATCCAACACCAGTGAGCAAAAAGTGCCACCTGCACTTTAATAGTGCTGACCGCCAACTCCCTGTACTTCATTCATTATGTGCTAATACATACGTATTATTGCCACCATGTTCTATGCCAAGCACAAATCAGTGTTCAAACGATCAGAACATCAATAGCGTACCTATGATGCAAACAGTGAATCAATCCCATCATAAATAAGTTTCTAATGGATCCTACAAGGAAATGAAATGCTGCATGTACCTCCTCAACTGCACAATTGCAAGTCAGATGAGTTTCAACAAACCATGCAGATACTGCTGTTGTTCCATATAAACACTTCAGTCAAAATCCTTATCAACAGACCTTTAAAAGAAAAGCAAGACAACTTTTACAATCATCTCTTACTACAGATGGGGCTCACAGCACCGCCTCATTAACCCCAACAACTTCCCTCTTCAGTCTGACAGCTGAACTACCAAGAAGGGAGGGAGAAACTGCCCACTCTCTGATTACCTTGTAAAGAAACAACCTGCTAAAACAGAAGGCTGGAGAAGGTGGAAAAAGAGCTGGAGATTGGAAGCAGGACAAGAAATGAAAAATGGAATGCAGTTATAAAGTAGGACTGGACACAGGATTAAAAATGAAAGTCAGGACTCGTAAAATGAAATCCTACTTGTTTAACAGGGACACGCAGGGAAATATTCTTCAGCATTAGAGTGGTTAAACCCTGGAGCAACTGTGCTGATGGCACCACATGACAGGAGCCAGCTCTCTGGTAATTAAGACTAACTTCCTGCAATTTTAAGAGCTACCTCAAGCAGGATTTGTTCCTCAGAAGCAAACAACCCCTGCCTCTTTCCTCAAGGTGTCCATGGTCTTGGGCTAATTACAGCCTTATTTCATGTAGTTTCCATTTGTCCTTCTTTGTTGTAGGTGTTACAAATTATGCAGTCAAGAAGAAAGGAATAAAGAAAGGTATGTAGCCAAATGCCAACTGGGATGATATTATCTCTGCCAGACAGCTCTTATGTGATGATAAGCAAATAAATTAAACCAAACTGTCCATAGGCATAAATGCAGTATTCTGATTTGAGGGAAAACCAGATAATGAAACATGGAAACACGATTCTAAGTTTTAGAGATGCTGAGCTCAAATTCATCCGAACTCACTTGGGAGTCATTCTGAACATCTGACTGTATGATGCCATGCAGCCTAAAAATTAGGTCCAAGGTATCTGATCACAAATTAAAAATTATAGTTTTTAATGTTGGTCTATTTTCTAAAACAGTACAATTGGGAACACAGTTTGTCATCTAATGGTTCTTGTGAAAGTAGATTAAGAGATGCTTAGGAAGCATTTACTTAATAACACATTAAAGACTCCATAACGATTAAGTTTATTTCACCACAGTCTGTTTTAGTAAAAAAAAAAAAAAAAAAGTTTGAAGCACTCAAACATTAAAGTCAAGAATGCATACAGTATGCATGC